TTAGATTTTTATTGAATTATTGGATTTTCAGCTGAGAGATTGACTAAACGAAGATTAAAAAAAAGCTAATTTATGAATGGTTGGTTTGTTTGTTTGGCAAAATAAATCAACCAACCAATCAACCAACCAACCAACCAACCAACTAACCAATCAACCAATCTTTCAATTGACCAATCAACTAACCAATCAACCAACCAACCAATCAACCAATCTCTCAACTGACCAACACAGCATGTGACAGCTGTCCAATCCAGGAGACCGCAGCACTGACCGATGATCCTCAAAGAAGGAAACCTGATATTTCTGTTGCCATGAAGATTCTTAAATGGAAGCCAAAAGTTAGTTTTATATATTTCATTTGTTTGCCTGTGTGTGTGTGTTTGTGTGTGTGTGAATATGTGTGTGTGTGTTTTTGTTTTCACTAAAACATACCTATCATACACTGCACATAATTAAGAGGATCATTAAATTATCGAACCAACCAAACACGCACACATGCACTCTTACAAACACACACATACACACGCACACAACCACATGCACACATACAATCACACACATACAAACACACACACACACACACACACAGGTGCCGATGATAGCTGGCCTAAACAAGACGATTGAATACTTCAAAAGTGAGCTGAGCGTTCGACATCACAGTCAAAGAAATATCTGGGAACCTGAAAAACATTCCGCATAATTTATTATCTTTGGATGTTTTATGTTAATTTATATATCTCTTTCTTTTTTTCTTTTGCTCTCTCTTCTCTTTCTTTTTTACTCTCTCTCTCTCTCTCTCTCTCTCTTTCTTCCTCTTTCTCTTTTAAATCATTCTAATCTTTCAAAGAGGTCATAAAACCAACTAAATTTCTTTCTTCCTCTTTCTTTAGTCCAATTTTTTTGTTATAATATATGATATATCTGGTTCTCTAGTTAGTCATTTTATTGAATTGCTATTTTATGACTTATTTATTAATTTATTCAATCAATCATTTACTTGCTTAGTTAGTTAGTTAATTAACTTAATTTGTAAAATGTTGACTGGTTTCTAGTTTTTTTTTATTTTGGTTAAATAATTTGTGGTATTTCTTGATTTACTTTGCATAAATTCATGTATGAATAATTTCTGTTTGGTATGTTGATTTAGTTATTATGATAGGCTGTGAACTGTTTTTACTAAATGTTCATGTTACGTGAATCATCCTCCAAGAACTACTGAGGAGTGTTATATTAATTTGTTTAAAATCTGAATTTTTTTAAAAATTGACTTTTTTGACTGACTGACTGACTGACTGACTGACTGACTGACTGACTGACTGACTGACTGACTGACTGACTGACTGACTGACTGAATGACTGACTGACTGACTGACTGACTGACTGACTGACTGACTGACTGACTGACTGACTGACTGACTGACTGACTGACTGACTGACTGACTTTCGTTTGAGAGCGAGATGTTGTTGTACTACCAAATGATTACTTCAAGTCTAAGTTACAATATATAAATTTTAGATAAATTTATTAGAAGTGCAGAATTAGTGTGATGACGTTTTACGATACATGTTATATGCCAGTTGTACTCAAGTTTCAAAATTAATAAAACGAGCTGTGTGGATATACATTATGTCCGCACATTTTCTGAAAAACAACTATCGTTTGGGGTTTTCGCCTTCGACAGGAGGCCAGCGCCGGCATCAGTTACGACGGCCTCTTTGATTTAGTGGGTTTGATTTCACTTTTTTTCACACCAGAAACCCGTTCACGCTCGTTCGCTTGTTGAAAATTTGAAAGTGCGAAACTGATTCCTAATTCCCTCTTGGCGCGCTCCTCTATTGTGCAGCCTGTATTTACGCGTGTGTGTGCCTCTGCGTGTTGTCAACCTTTGATTGGATTTCCGCCATCTCGAAGGCGTTTTTTTCCAGCCGGGGTCCATCACTTCTTATAACTCGGGAGTTGGGACTCTAACTACGAATAGATGAAAAATAAATAAATGCAACAACATTTATATTGATAAATGAACTTGAACGGCTTGTCAGTTTTAGTTTCTGCTGTTATTAGTGTTAGTAGTGATGGTGGTACTGTTGTTTTATTAATAAACAATTCATGTGCTTCCTGTTTTTCTAAGATAGGAACTCAGAAGGATGAAGATGACGATGATGAAACTAATGAAAGAAAGATGATGAAATGTAGGAGATGGCGATGATGATGATAGTAATTATGATGATAACGACGATGATGATGATGACGATTGTGATGATGATGGTGATGGAGAATTTTTTGAACGATTATACACGGAGGGAATGTAAAATGGAAAATTCATTCGTAATATAACTGTAAGTGAAGACATAATAATAATGTGAATGGTTCTGGTGTTAATGTTGATGAATATGATGATAATTATTTTCGCCATAAATAGAAAAATTATGATAATATGACAATAATAATGATGATGATGACGACGATGATGATGCGAGATGGAGAATGGAGATGACACTCAATGAATAAATGATGCAGCTTCGATGAAGATGATGAAGCTGATGAAAACGATGGTGAAAAGATGAACATGAAAAAGATTCACTTGTTTCACGCACACACTTACGTATATATACTCTTATATATGTATGTATACATATATAAATGCACTAATGTAATTATGATCTTTTACCAGAATATATATATATATATATATATATATATATATACACACATATATATATATACTTTTTTAACTATATACAAATTTTTAGAAATATAAATTATATATCTATATATAATATATATGGATTTCTAAATTTCATTTATTTTAAACATACTGACTCACACAAAGAAATATGAATACAAGAAATACAAAGAAATACAAAGACTGTGTAAACAAAGCATATGAATATGTACATATACAAATATACATATACTTATATACATATATTTATGTACATATATGTTTACCTATACATGTGTAGTTATGTGTTAATATATGAATGTATGTATGCATGTATGAACGGACGTATGTATGTATGTACGTATGTATGTATGTGTGTATATATATGTATATATACATAAGTGTGTGAATGCATATCAGACCAAAGATATATCAACATGTGTTTAGTTGATCAAATGATTTTTTTTTTCAATGCTAAAATTTTGAGAGTAAGTTTCATTAAAATGATACATTTATACGATTTTCGTTGGAAACAATTTGTGTGTGTGTGTGTGTGTGTGTGCATATTTTGATAAAATGGATAGATGAACAAATAAATGAATGAATGAATGTATGTATGAATGGATGAATAAGCAAACGAATAGATAAATGAAATCATAATTATATACATTTATTTTCATAATATAGATAGATGAATGGATATATCGGTTCAATTATCTTTTACATACGTATATATTTATATAAATAAATAAATGCAGTTTTTTTGTGTTAAAATTTATTTTTTTCATCAGTGGAGGTTAGATGTTTTGTTGGTTTGATTCACGCACGCGCACACACACACACACAGACACACACAACTCACACACATCCAAACACGCGTTTGGCTTATATGACTGGATTTCATTAATTGATAACGTCGCTATTATCGGCTTAATCGTCATCACTGCTATCATTATCAGCATCACTGTTATCACCACCACCATCATCATCATCATCATCGTAACCATCATCTTAATCATAGTCGTCATCCACCATCGTCATACATATCACCATCAAGTCAGTTATAATGATAGTTTCAACGTCAACATTTGAACGGACAGTGGCGAACAACAACATCAACAACGAAATCGACAAGCAAATAAAAAATAACATCATTAACAACAACAGCAATAACAACAACAATAACAACAACCTGCCATCATCTATAACATACAACTATCGATTTAACAACAAAAACAACAACAACAACAACAGCTTAGACAAAAACTTTTTCTATTACCAGCCAGGTAAGCAAACAACAACAACAACATTAGCAAACACGTCATCGCTACCAACACCAACATCAACAACAACAACTACCACTACATTCCCAGCAGCAAACATGCAGAGAAGTTTGTATACACATGAAAAAATTCTCTTCTCAAATTACGGAAAAAAACTCTGGAAGAAAATTTTATTTCCATATGAGTTTAAATGCAACGATATTGAAAAGCTCTTCAAATTAAATTCATATTCAACGTGTTTTGACGGTTTAAGGTGCCTTTTGATACTCATGATTGCCTTAACGGTTAGTAGTTTGTTAGTTAAACAACTTGCAAACATCTAACTAATTTCGTTGGATGAGTTTTTTTGGCTTGATGTTTGATGTTTTTTACATGTTTGATGGTATTCATGGAATGTTTGATTTGTATTGTGCGCACATGTGCGCGTTTTATGTGTGTGAATGTGTGAATACGTGTAATTGTAGTGTGTGTTTGCGTCCTTGCATAAGGGTGTATGTGTGATTGAACGTAACCAACCGAAAAATCAACCAACAAACTTCACACATACACACACACACAAACGCACACACACACCACACATACACACACACACTCACACACACACACACACAGGTTTCACTTTCCATCGTCAACTTCGTCTTCGTGTCGCGACTCTCACTGGAAAACATCGCCAACACATCCCTCTGCCTCTCATTCATCATCATCCTCGTCTGCATCCACACTCCATTTATGGCGCGAAGACTGACGCTAGTCGTGACTCTAATGATAGCTGTCCTCTGCTTAGTCTTTTGCGCTGTTTCATTAGCTGTAGACGAACAGCTAGATCTAAAGAGATCTAATAACCTACGCGGTAAGCTATCAGTGGTAGCGGCTACAGTAGCGACTAAGTTTACTTTTTCAAGAGCGGAGGCTGTCTGGAGATTGAGTTATGTGACGTTTGTGTTGTATGCGTTCGTATCGTTGAGGTTTTGTTTGGTGGTGTTTGTGGGTTTCTCCTTAGGGTTCCTACACTGTTTTCTGAGTCTTCTTCTTCCTAACAATGATTCGGCCCTAGAAGGAAATGTTCTTTATAAGCAGGTTGGTTGGTTGTTGTTGTTGGTTTTTGTTGTTGGTTGTTTGTTGTTAATGTGATTTGAATTTGTTGATTCAAGTATGTTGTTGTTGGTTGTTTGTTGATGTGATGTGATTTGTTTGAGAAGTAGTAGGAGTTGCAGTAGTAGTAGGAGTAGTAGTAGTTGTTGTTGATGATGGCCTGCTATTTGTTTTTTATTTAGTGTTGTATGTAGTTGCAAAATGTTAAATGATGTCGAAATTGTTGCTGTTATTATTCTTATTGTTATTATTATTGATTGAATAAATGCTGTTGCTGAAGTAGTAGTAGTAATAGTAGTAACGGTAGCAGCAATAGTAGTAGTAGCAGCAGCAGCAGTAGTAGTAGTAGCAGCAGCAGCAGTAGTAGTAGCAGCATTAGTAGCAGTAGTTGTAATTATAAAATGCAATCATGTAGATGATAGATAGAGGTGTTTGATAACTTTGTAGTCGTTATACGAAGGGTGATGGTGTTGTTAATTATTGATTGTTATCATTATCCAGATAAATGTTCTAGTTCTGAATAACATTTCATTGATTTTTGTCGTTGTTGTTATAATTGTTGTTATTGTTGTTAAAATTATTATCATTTTTATTTCTGCTCGATATTTTCAAGATAAGTATGATGCGAAAAGAATGATAGAGAAGAGATTATGGTAGAGTTATAAATAAATAGATCTTCAGTTATTGTAAACAAACTGCTCAGGTGCTTGTTAAAGTGAATGAAAAAATTGTGTGTGTGCGTGTGCGTGTAAATGTATGTTTGTGTACGTGTGTGTGTGTGTTTGTCTGTTTGCATGTGTGTATGTGAAAATATGCGTCTAAATGTACAGTTCATGTGTGTTTTTTATGGACATATTAGTGTGTATGTGTATTATTATTATTATGTGTGTGTTTTGTATTGTATGTGTATGCTTTTGGCTTTTTGCATGTGTGTGTGTGTGTATGTATTTTTATGTACTTTTCTATGTATTTTTTTGCCTAATACATTTTTAT